TTTTTGTAAAAAATGAGCACGAAAAGCTTTACTAATTGCTTCATTTTCCTCCTCAGTCCATGTTTCCCATGTCTTTTTCTATAAATTAATAAACATATCTTAATAAGCTGAAACATTTTAAAAAGTTTACAAACTTTAAAAATATTTTTAAAATATTAGATTTAAACCAGTTGTGATACTAATAAATGCCTTTTTATGAGGTTTTAACATGTCCTCACAGTTATTAATTGGTGTGTTCTGTTTTCTTTTTTCTATAGAAAAATATTTATCAAATAAAATAAGAAAACAGATTATTGCTGCATAAAGGGTTGGTATTCCCAAACTCTTTAGCCATGTAACAATTTAAAAATAATTTAAAATTTTATTTTATTGTTAAATATTACCATTTACTATTACCTGACTGTTTACCCATTGGAACACTAACACCATGAGAGTTATTTTCCAAAACTCCAATACTTTCATCAAGAACTTCGTCGATCTTCTTGTTCTTAACAGATTTTCCATCATCAATCGCTACAAGAACTTTAGCTACTTTGGTTAGCTCTATGGTAGCATCTTCCTTTCTATACCAATTCATGTGAACATCTTTAGTATGACCAAAATGGTTTGTAAGCCATGTTAATTCAGCATTGTTCATATCTAGTAGCTGCATCATAGTTGCAAAAAGTTTGCGTGTTCTTGTAGGTGTTATAAGTCTTGGTTGTTGAAGATTTGAAACACTCTTAGTTATGTTTTGAAGAGTATCCCAACTTTTTAAATAAAACTCACTGTATGCTAAAACGTAAGGGTTATTATCATGAGCATCTAGATATGACCTATGCTTTACAATTAACCTAATAGCATCAATCATTTTACTTGTAAAAAGTATAGGCACTAAAGCATTTTTACTCTTCCCTTTTTTATTTTTCCCTTCAATATAGCAAACCTGCATACGATCGGCAAGAATTTTTTCTACAGGGTCATCAAGGCTGTCAATATCAGTTCGCCTTTTCCATCTTCCATCCTCAACACCAAAACGTCAACATCCTCAACAACACCACTGCAAAAGTTTTAATTTTGATACTTTGCCACCCACGCCATTAAAAGTTGTGTCAAAGTTAATTTAGCAAGTTGTTTTACATCTTTATTTAAAAAACTAGAAGACTCAATGCGATAAACACTGTCTCTCATTTCATCCAAAATGTGTTTTCTTAAAATCATTATGTCACCCTCCAATGGTAGTTCTTCAGGCTGATTTGCTTTATCAGATTCATAAGTTGACCTTGCATTTCCTGCCATAACTTGCCAGTCACTATCATATAACGTTTCTTATTTTTTCAACTTTAATAGAGCAATTTTCTCTCAAAGCAAGTGCTCTGACAGTAAATGCTAGATTGCGTAAACAAAAACCTACCTTTAGAAAAGTATTAGGTTTTCCTATATCTCTAGAGCCATTATATTTAGAGAGAATTTTGACTGCTGAAGTAATAAGATCAAAATTTTCAGGTAATACCAACAAACTTGCAACAGCATTTTCTTGCTTATCATTTTTTCGAAACATTGCAAGATTCGAGCAAGGTAACGCAAAGAATACCTTATGTCATGATATCTATCTTTTTGTTGTTTTTTTGCATTTCAACAGCAGTGTATATTAATAATGAGAATAATAAGGTGAAGATCGTCATGCTTTATTTTTGATAGTATGAGCTCATGCACTTCACCAAATTTCTTATCACCAACAGCTACACCAAGCATAGCTTGACTTGAAGATAAATTTTAATTTAAAGATATTTCCATAAATTTTGCTTTACAGTTTTTAGTATGTTTGTAAAGAGTTTTAGCATTAAACATGCCATGACAATTTATGCAAGGTACAAGCTCCATTACTTTGGCTGATGACTTTCTTACAACAAAAAGATTGTTTTGATTTGCTTTTAAAAGATTTATATTAGCTACGTAATCGCCTTGCCTGGTAATTAGTTTCCACGCCTGAGACCTTTCTTTACTTCTCAATGGGTAAGAAAGCGCTTCCTTAACATCATCTTCTGTTTTATGAATATTCATAAAATGTCGAGGAGGGTTCCAAACACGTCTTTTACAATACAAAAAAAAGTGCATTTTATGACCACTTTTTTGTTTCGGAATATCTAGAATTAGTTTTTAAATTTTATTATATTGTATTAACTTATTGGATTATATACATAATCCAAGAGTGAAATGAATTTTAAGTTAACTATATTTATCTATAACTAGCAGTAAGCAACCTGTAATACGCGTTGTTAGTAAATAAAAATTAAAAAAAAAAACGTGTATAGAAAAGCCTAGAAACTACTTTAAAATAGAAAAGCCTAGAAAATGACGTAACTCGACTAATATTAAATTAGCGTATTCATATAATCAGATTATTTATCTATAATTAAACAGTTTTTAACAAAACAATAAATTATTTACCAACGGCATCACCCTTAATTTTGCAGACAACTGTATCAGTGAAATTTTCAATAGATTTTTCAGAAGAAATCTTTTTTTTTTTTTAATTTGCATTCACTCCCAACAAGGCTGCAAGCAACCACTATTAAGTTGGGAGTTACTAGGAAAAAAAAGAACAGAGCTATAGAGCAAGGAAACGGTTGACAGAAGACTTGAAAAGTTGAAGGTTGTAAGAATCAGGAAAACATGAAGATGGAAGAGAGTTCCAAAGGATTGAAGTGCGGGGAAAAAAACTAGATGAATAAAAGTTTTTAGAGCATGCAGGGACAGATACAGTAAACGAATGAGACTTAGCTGAATGACGAGTAAAACGAGAATGAATCTTAGTTGATGGAACTAGAGATGATAACTCCTTTGAGCAGTGACCATGATAGTATTTGTAGAAAAGAGAAAGAGATGCAACTTTACGACGATGGGAAAAAGGTTCAAGCTTAGCAGATAGTCCAGGTCCAACAACATTTACTATGCGATTTTGGACCTTGTCAAGAAGAGAAAGTGAATCGTTAGAAGAACCAGCCCAAATATGACAACAATATTCCATACAGGGACAAATAAGAGATTTGTAGAGGTAGAGAATGGAATCAGAAGTAAAGAAATGGCGAGCACGATAAAGAGAAGCAACCTTAGCAGAAGCTAATTTAGCAATCGATTGTATAAATGGTTTCCATGAAAGGTCAGTAGTAAGCGATAATCCAAGAAGACGTAAAGAGAACAACTCAGTAAGAGGATTGCCATTCATTAATATAGGAATGTTGACCACATTACGGTAGTTGTTTGCAGTAAGCAACTGGGTTTTTTTAGAGTTGAAATTCACAAGCCACTGTGAACCCCAATCTATTACTGAAGTGAGATCGGATTCAAGATCAGCTGCTTGTTCTAGGCGATCGAAAAGAGAAGACTTTTTGTCAAGATAGGAGTATAAAGTTGAGTCATCAGCAAAAAGAGCTACTTTAGATGAAAGGTTGTCAGGAAGATCGTTTATGTAGATAAGAAACAAAACAGGGCCCAGGATGGAACTTTGGGGAACCCCAGAAGTTACTGGAAATAAAGAAGAGTGTTGGCCTTCAAAGATGACTTTAATAAACCGGTTAGAAAGAAATGATTTGATAATCTCAAAAACTTTCCCAGAAACACCATATGAAGCAAGCTTATGGAGAAGACCAGCAGGCCAAACTTTGTCGAAAGCTTTAGATATGTCGAGAGCAATAGCCTTAGCCTCATCGCCTCCATCTAATGCACGATAAAATCTTTCAGTTACAGCAGTTAGCAAGTCGGCCGTAGAGCGAGAGGATCGAAAACCGTATTGATTGTCTGACAGTAGTTTATTTGACTCAAGATGAGATGTGAGGAATTTGTTGATCAAAGACTCAAAGTCCTTGCTAATAACAGAAAGAAGACTGATCAGACGGTAATTGGAGGGGTCAGAATTTTCTCCAGAGTTTTTGAATATTGGAACTACAGATGCCATTTTCCAACAAGCAGGAAAACAAGACTCAGTCAAACACTTGTTTAATAGTTTAGAGAGAATTGAAGAAAGCTCTGGAGAACAATTCTGCAAGACTGTAACAGGAATGTTGTCTGGACCACAAGCTATAGACGAGTTTAATTGAGATATGACTTTTGCAACAGAAGCCGGAGTGATTTGAATGTCTAACAATGGGTCAACCTGTTTGACTGGAATGGAAGGAAGAGAATGTCCATAAGATTCAAGAGTGGAATTAGAAGAAAAGTTTTTTGCAAATAGTTTTTCCTTATCCTTGGGAGAGGTAAAAAGATCAGTCCCATGAATGAGAGATGGAATTTTAGATCTACCCTTGTTAATAATGCTGTTGAAGATTTTACAAAAGTCTTTAGAGCCTAACTTCTGCGATAAGATGCGAGATTTAGTGAACTGAGAATAATGGAGTTTAGCATCAGAAAGCACCTTTTTACATCGATTTCTTGCAATAATAAATAGCCGTTTGTTCTCAAGAGAGTTGTTCTTTTGAAAAAGATGAAAAAAATGATTATGATTGGATATAGCAGCCGCACAAGAAGGAGAAAACCATGGAGTAGAATGAGGCTTGACTTGAAACCGACGCGAAGGAATCTGCTCATAGTTACTCAATTTGGATGTTATAGAACTGCTGACATCAGAATAGCTACAAGAAGCTTGACAATCTTGCAATATGGGATTTATCTTTGGAATTTTTTTATCCATAGTTGATACATTAACATCAACCTTTTCTATTGAAACATTTGCTTCCTCAATTTCATCAAGATTACTACTTTCATCACTTCTTAGGTTGCTTGGTTGATAATCGCCATCACTACTGTCATTCTTAAATAAATTGAATAATATAAATTATTTATATTTTTATAAAAAAAAAGAAGCTATTGTTATAAATTAAGAGAAAGTCGAAATACATCATACATCAACCTTATCTACATCATGCTCAACATCAACAAAACTCTAAAGAAAGTATAAAAAAAACATTTAATTGAATAAAAATGTAAAAAATGTAAAATTTAAAATAAAATTAAGTATTTACATTAATTGAATGTATTTCTAAGCCAAGGTCTTCTTCAGCACTGGTCTCTGCATTTTCTGTCTGAAAAAGATGTTCTAATGGAATTATGATTTCTAAAAAACTGGTTGAAAATAAACCTGGGATGTCAAAATTTAAGTATCAGTAACTTGTAAAAGTAGGAGATCGTCAACAGACTTAAGAATCAGTTAAAAAAACAACTATACTGATTTCTTTAAAAAAATTTTAAATTTATACTTTTGTAATTTATTAATTAATAACTTTACAAAATACAAGCGGGTTTAAAAATTTATTAAACAGGTATTGACAACAAATAAGTAAAAAGACACATGATGTAACAAATCATAACTTAAATTCTAAAAAAAAGCTAAAAAAAAAACATACTTCATTCAATGGAGAAGCTGGAATTTCTTTTCTAGCCTAGATAATGTATGGAAGATTAAACAGATTTATTCAATTCTATATGCAACAAGTTGTAAAAAAAAAAAAAGATAGCTTTAAGAAATTTATAAATTAAACAAATAATATTATTTAAAATTTTACTACTTATGAAAACTTTCTAGATACCCGTAATTTTAATTTGTAGGTAGAAATTTTATTTGGTGTTGAAGTAAGAAACTTCTAAAGTAACAATAAATAATAATATTTATATCACAAACAATTTTTTTTTAATCAATTAGATTCTGAAAACAAATATATTACAATCTTACATTATTATCAACCTGAACATTACAGATTTCTTGGCGCTGCAAAGATTTCTCAATAAGAAACTAAAATTATTATTGCAATATATTTAATGAGTGTCATATAAATAAATAAAACTAATTAAAATATTCAATTTTTTCAAATAATTCAAATATTGAAATATTTACATCAAATTCACCATCAGAAAACATATTTTCAATATCCTAAAATTATAAATGAGAACTTTAAAACGCTATATTTGAATGAAAATTGTAAAATATCATAGAATAAGTTTATAGGATTCTATTTTAAAAGCATGTAAGAAAAATGGTACAAACATATAAATAATCAAAATTCTGATTAGGGTTTCCAAAAAGCCGCACTTAAAAAAACTGGCAGTTTACATTTCATAATTTTAAAAAATTGCGGTTGATCGCAGTTTTTGGTTTTTCTTGTAAAAAAATAAAAAGTTAAAGTAAAAGTAAAATAATAAAAGTTAAGTTTATCTTTATCTTATAAGTTTATGTTTATCTTATAAGTTTATCTTTATCTTATAAGTTTATCTTTATCTTATAAGTTTATCTTTATCTTATAAGTTAATCTTTATCTTATAAGTTTATCTTTATCTTATAAGTTTATCTTTATCTTATAAGTTTATCTTTATCTCATAAGTTTATGTTATCTATGGAGATATAAAATTGTAAATCTTTTTATGATTTTATGTTTTTATGCTCGTAATAGTTATGCAAAAACTCCTGTTTAAACTCATCAGTGGATTTGGGGAAGTGTGTGATGCTATCTTAATTAAGAAGTGTATTTAATTCATCTTTAGGATAATCAGTTAAACTTTCTGATGTTGTAAACAGGTGTGGATACAGAAAGAGAGAGGAGGGGAAGGGGTAATGTTGATAATTCAATATTCACAATACCCCATTATTTGAAAATCCCACCAGACATTCATTTTTATTTACTTTTTTACTCGCACGAGCATGTTTTGGTGGCTTGAATCAAAAGTTTTTAAACTGTAGAGCTGGTGTTAACTAATTTTCAACTGGCATTAATGAACTTTTAAACTGGTTATTATTAGTTTGTAATTCACTGGTATTAATAAACCTCACATAATATGCAGTTTTTATGCACATTAAAATAAATGATTGCAAAATAATTGGAAAAATTGCAATGCAAGTCGTTTTGGAACTGCTATACAAAAAATACCAATGCAAGGGTATGACAACAATGCAAGGCTTGACAACAAATATAATCCCATGCTATTTGATATTATGAAGACATAATGTTTCATATGAAAGAGAGTGCCATGAAGCATTTCAGTTAGAGTATGCAATTCAGTAAAAGTCTGGAATAAACATTTCTTTGTTTTTTAAAATGGCCTAGTCATTGCTAAATTGAGTTCCAACAATAACAACATGCAGATGCTGTTCGATTTTATTATCATATTCCTAAGTAAATTTTTTCGGAAAAATCTGATTGCGAACTGATAAAATTTGGATTTCATTACTTTCCGTACATTCAATAAAATTTCAGTGTAGTCAATAATCGCATCCTTCACTGATTCAAAACTGAAATTTTGACTGTCATACTCAAATTTTTTTTTTTTTTGAAATATTCAAAATGAAAAGGCATAAAACCTAATTATTAAACTTAAAACATTAGATATAAAGGTATTAGAAATGTTAGAAATAAAATTTATATATTATTATTAAAAAAAATAAGGAAAAAAAAACGAAAATATGAAATCTAAATCAGTATCAAGTAAAAACTATGGATAAAATAATATTACTTTATATTTATACATTTTTTTATACTTATAAAGATCTAAATAATCTAATGAAAATATATTTACTTAGAAATAGGATTTTTTTTATACCTTTCTATAGTAAATAAATATTAAAAGCAGTTATACAAAAATCCGCAAAACCATTTTTGAAAACCGACGGTTTTATCAGTTTTGACAGAAAACCGCTGCTTTCGGTTTTTGGTTAAAACTGATTGGAAACCCTAATTCTAACTGAATTTTCTTTTAAAACCTCATCCACAGTTTGTACAGAGCCTTTAAACTTGTCTGCACATTTGAATAAATTCTAAAAATATGTAACAACTATATACCTAGTATGTTGATATTTTTACTAAATACAGGTCAAAACCTTTATTTCCCAGTCTGTGTCTTATTTAAATTATGCAAATAAAAGTAATCGAATTAATTAAAATACTAAGTTAGGTAAACAAACTGGCGTGTTCTGGTCTTCTTTGTTACTATTTTTAACTTCCTCATCCTGAAATGAAAACATTTTAGTTTATATTTCAATAAAAAAATTTATCTGAGAAAATTTTTTTAAACAAAATTGAAAAAATTAAAAACTGCAATTAATTTTTTTAAAAACCTTATCTATGGCAAGTACAGGACCATTAAACTCATTTGCACATTTAAACAAATTCTAAAAATATAATTAACAACTATATACCTATTATGAAGATATTTTATTTAAATACTGGTCAAAACCTTTATTTCTCAGTCTGTGTCAATAATACAATAAATTGATTATTTATAAATAAGAGTCAATAATTCATTTGTGTTTTAAATATAATTCTGCCTAAACACCTAAGGCATATTTAAATAAAAGTGTTTTAAATTCTGTGTCTATTAAATCTTTATCTAAATTATGTAAATAAAATTAATTGAATTAATTTAAATACTAAGTTAGGTAAGCAAACTGGTGTGATCTGGTCTTCTTCATTACTAGTTTTAACATTCTCATTCTGAAATAAAAAAATACTTGTGTATATTTTTATAAACAATTTTAAGATGTTGATACACTAAAATGCTGAAAAATTAGGTTAAAATAAAAATCAATGATCTAAAATAAGCTTTAACAGGGCTTAAAACAGAGCTTTTCACAAACCCGAACCTGGCTAAACAAACACAATTTGCAGGGGTTACTAGTCCGGGTCGGATTTTTTATTTTTATTTATCTTTTTAAATATTTTTATTTATTCGGTTCAAATTTTTAATAAAAGTTAACAAAAATATATGAAAAAGTCATACAAATAATATATACTTATATATTATTTCTCTTAATTATATACTTAGGACAAAATAATTCATAAAAATTTACAATAGAAAATAACAAATAAGAGAGGGGGTAATTTTCTCTCCCCCCTTAGGAATTATTAAAAAATTTTCAGTTTTTAGTAGCCCCCCCCCCTCTTTAATGATGGAGAAAATGCCCTAAAATTTTTAGGAGCTCAGCATAAAGATAATGATGATGATGTTGATAATGATGATGATCATAATGATGATGAATACTATGATTTATAAACTAAAAACTTATAAACTATATCATAAACTAAAAATTGGTCAATTTTTTACATTCTATAAAAATATAGTTTAAAAACCTTTTGATAAAAAAATAATTTCCACAATTTAGGTGAAAATGCATGTATTTAACATGTATTTAAATAATTATTTTAAAAAAATGATGATAAAATAGAAACAATTTATCAAAGGGGCCATCCATAATGTACGTACACAGTATGACCACTGGTTTAGGATCCCCTCCCCCTTTTACAAACCTGTACGCTTTCTAAGACCTCCGCCTACGAACGCAACTTTTTTTACAAAATAATGTACAAAACAGAATTAAAAAAAAAATAACAAAAAAAAAGTTTGTTTTTATTTGATATCTTTTTGCCTCTCATATCACTACCAATCAAATTACATTGCAAAAAAAAAAAAATATAAAAAAAATATATATATTATTTAGAACCATTATCTCTCAATTTCTTTTTTTCTCTCCTCATTTTTATATAAAAATTTAAAAAAACACAATACTGATTTGTTACACACATAAAATTCAATGTTATAAAAAGAATAAAAAATAAAATCAAGTTTAGGAGAGATAGTCAAACCGCATACGTACTCACTGTCTTTAACACCCTTTCCCTCTTGTAGACATTCACATGCTTTTGGATAAAGCTCCCCCTCCCCCATACCTGCCTATGTACTTAATGTTTGGCCCCAAAACTTGAAAGTGAAAAATTAAAAAATTAAAAAACAAAAAATAAATAAATCATACCTGGAACTTGAAACATTTAGCATATCATTAGATCTAAAAAATAAAACATTTTATAACATATCAAAACATTAAAACGAAGTATTTATGATTATATATTAATTATATATAATATTTCATAGGTTATATAAAATAATTGAAGAAAAAATATATAAATTTATATTAAAGTTACTTAAATAAAGGCTCTTTTAACATTTCAAACACTTCTTCGTTGCTGGAATCTTTCAATGACATATTCTAAAATTCAAAAGCCATATGACTACAAAATAATTAAACAAATAAGTGACTTATACAGCTATAATGAATAATGAAGTTAAACAAGTTTCATTAAGTACTTGAAATAATTTAAATACCATTACTATTTCTTTTAATCTACCAATAATCTAAAAAATAATAACTTTTTAAAAAAAAAACAAGAAAAATCATTATTTATAAGTTCATAAGTATATAATCTTGACTACATATATACAAACCTCAGTATTAGAAAAACTATATTTGGCAAAAATTGCAGACCTTACACTGTTTTAGGTTGGCATCAGGTTAGCAAATTCATTTATTGACAAACTTTGTACTTATAAACTTTATGGTGAACCTTTATGATAAAGGTTTCACCATTAAAAATATACTGTTAACATATACAGTTAGGTTGGAATCGCTGAACCTAATTCAGCGGGCAGTTTATATATATATATATATATATATATATATATATATATATATATATATATATATATATAAATATATATATATATATATATATATATATATATATATATATATATATATATATATATATATATATATATATATATATATATATATATTAACATATACAGTTAGGTTGGAATCGCTGAACCTAATTCAGCGGGCAGTTTATATATAAATATATATATATATATATATATATATATATATATATATATATATATATATATATATATATATATATATATATATATATATATATATATATATATATATATATACATATATATATATATATATATATATATATATATATATATATATATATATATATATATATATATATATATATATATAAAATTATTAAATCAGAAAATTGCTTTTATATTCAATTAGAAAAAACAAAAGAGAAATATGTTACAAATACATACCAATGTAAAGTGCAAAGTTATTTATTTTTATTTTGAAATTTCAAAATCTTGAATCAAAAAGTTAAAGATACCTGGACACAAGTTAATCGCAATTCTGGATCATTGCACCATCCTCCAACAATAGTTTCAACAAGATGTCTTGTGTCAGACTCCAAATATATTTTAGAAATAAGACTTATATCTGGTCTTTCTCCTTTTTCAAGAGCTTGAGTTAAAAAATATCTTTATAAATAGAAAAGTGATTTTGCCATGGTGAGTCTAATCCTGACATAATTTCGTTCGCCATGTCATTATCTTTTTTCATAAAAAAGATAATGACATGGCATAAACATCTGACTCTTTAGTGACAATATTTACAGTTCGATTGCAAATTTCAGGAGAAAGATAAACTATAGTTAAACCAGCAAATCCAGCTTTTACCTTAGTCTTTGTTGCCATTGTTTCCTTCATAATAGCAAGGTCACAAAAATCAGAAAGTTTGATCACTATTTTACTTAAAGTGCCCTGAACTAAAATATTTGCAGGCTTAAAATCATGATGCACGATGTTTAAGTCGTGCAAATATTTTAATCCATTTGCTGCTTGTAAACAGTAATCCAAACGCTCCATATAATTAAAATGTTTCTTTGTTGAATAAATTTGGTAATGGTAATTTGGTAATACTCTGGTAATGATGGCATACGCCGTATGATAGGGTATTTTCTACTAGAACATAACAGTAGTCAAAAAAAATTGCTGTAGGTCTAAAACTAAAGCCAATATATGCAACAATATTTGGATGATCAAGCTTTTTGAATCGATTTGACATATAAAACATTTTTGATTTAGGGAATTGATGTTTGTAAAGTTTACAAGCAACAACCTTCTTTTTATGAGAAAATTTATAAACTTTAGCAAATGAACCTTCACCAATAAACGCATCTTCAGACATGTGTAGAGGTAGCTCTACAATAAACTCACTGTTTTCTTTTTCAATCTGATTTAAGCTTTTAGATTTAAGAAAACTGAAGTTTGCCATTTTTAAAATTAACTAGTAATAAAATGTTAGCGCATTTAAAAATAAACAAAATAGTTTTAGAAGAGCGAAAAATTACCGGTAACGAAAAGAGTAAATTATGTAAGTCAATTAAGTTGTTAATTTATTTATAGTTTAAGGTTTTTATCACAATTAAATATATCATGTGTAAAAACATTATTAACATAAAAATCTTACAATTTCTTAAAGGGTTCAATAACGATGGATTTTACGAAAAATATGTGTAAGTGTAAAAAATACAAACACCAACTTATCGGCTCAATAAAATTTGGACTACTGTGAGGATATACAAACGATAATGATGCAAAATAAGTTGAAAAAATTATCGAACCACTTGAATGCAATGATATATTAAGAATAATGAATGCAATAATATATTAAGAATAAATATTAAGAATTATAATAATTGAATGCAATGATATATTAAGAATAAATATTAAGAATAAGTTATTTTTAATATATCATTGCTTGAATGAGCCGATAAAAAAAAAAAGAGCCGATAAGGAGTCGCGTAAAGTAGTGCGCGGTTCGGTAAGGCGGTATTAGTTCTTCCATACATACAAACATACATACATACATACATACATACATACATACATACATACATACATACATACATACATACATACATACATACATACATACATACATACATACATACATACATACATACATACATACATACATACATACATACATACATACATACATATATTATGTATGTATGTATTAATAAAAACACTCCTGCCTGCCTGTCGAAGACAAAATGTGTTTTTCAAAAACACATTTTGTCTTTGAAAAAAAAAGATTGAAATTGATTTTCCAGACAATTTAGAAAGAAGACGATTTTCACTGAGTTATTATAACAGCAAGATGAAGAATGCAAAAATGTAAAAATAGAGTGCAAAAACAGAGTAATAATAAATTAGCAAAAACTTTTTGCTAATTAATTTTTTATTCAATTTTACCTAGGTAAAGTTGACAAATTTTGCAACGACTATCATTACATTTAAAAATTCATATATTTTTATTGTTAGGTGGTACGGAATTAAATTTAGCAGAAGTCTTGCAGGCAAGAGGTAAAAAATTTTGAAACATCCAATGGTACTATCTGGACCATTAAAAGTCATGTTTCTTGTAACAGCAAGAACGTAATTTATTATTTAAAATGTTTATTGTGTAATGGCCAAGCAACATATACTGGAAAGACAAACAATTTGAGAAATCGCATAAATAGTCATATATCAAGTTGCAGAACCGGCCATTCAACTGACAGATTTGACAATCATGTGTATGGTTGCCAACGTATAAATAATAAACGGAAACGTTTTTCCAATTTTTTGTTTTTCTAGAACTTAAAAGTGATAAAAATTTATTGTCGAATGAAAGTCATTTGCATACACAAAAACATGATACTTTTAACTAACACTTCCTGTTTTAAAAAGGACATTAGCAATGGTAACTAATAGGAACAATACCTTATTTGATTAAAAATTATACTTTTTCAGATAATTTTTA